TATTAAAACTTAAGACAATTCAGTGACTAGATATCAAACAGTTTAAAAAGATATGCTATACATTATAAAATAAATAATAATTTTTAATTTCTAACGAATTCTTAATAATTTTTTAATAAAATTTAAAAAGAAAAATAATTGTTAAAATATTGATAGACGGTAGAATTTACTGTAGATTTAATACATCTATAGAATACTTACAGTCCAATGGATTTATTAAGCCACTGCTTTTCCAGTCGAATTCAGGGTCTGGTACTATATCCTTTGTTATAATATATAAAAAGTTTATTTAGCATTTAAAGGATATTAAATTCATTTAGAAAGTGAAATTAAATTCACCTGAATTGGACCATTGGAAAAAGATTGCGATATTTTTATATCATTTGTGTCATTGTTAGAAGCTTTTAATGGTTCCAATGGATTGTTAGACATATTTGCAGCAAACCTAGGGACTTTTGGGTTCCAAGAAGCACCATACAACTGCCATATTTAAATTCAATATTAATAAAAATAATAATAATAAAAAAAATGTACAACTAAATCATTAGTAAAATGTGATGTTGATCTTACTATGTTTCTAGAATCAATCGAGAGTGAAGCAAGGAAAACATTATTTGATTCAGATTTGGTCCAATTATAGTTAAGGGCTGGACTTGAGTCTACATCTTTTAAACTCTGCCACACTTGAGAATCATTTAGCTCATTATCTAAGTTTTGCAAATCAGTTTCCTCACATAACTCCTAATGAAGAATAAATAATTTTAAAAAATAAACATAAATTAATTAATATTAATACAAAAAGGCTTACATAATCTCCTTGAAAAGCGTCCTTACAAAATTGTTTATAATCAAGTTGAACGTGTGACTCTGAATCTAATATTGCATAATTTGGTTTTAAATCTATAGCTTGATCACTAATTGTATGAAGACCTGATGTAGGGAATCCAGATTCAAAATCACAGAAGTTGTCGTCATCATCATCATCATCATTGTTAATTAAACTATTTCGGTTCTCAGATTTCAACATTGAATTATTATCATTACTGGTTATAAAATTCACTTGTTCAACATTGGAATGTTTGAACTCTTCTGTTTTATTCAACTCTTGTTTGAAAGTTTCATATTTACAAAAATCGTCGTCATTTATATCACATAATGATTTCTTTTTTGAAGTTGAATTTGAAAATACATGAAAGTCAGAGAATTCACCAAATTCAGATTCTGAATTATGTTCAACATTAATTTCATTATATTGAAATGTTGAACAATTAGGATTAATTGATTCTACACTTTGCTCTATTTCATTCTCAACTAATATGGAAATATTTTTCAATACTTCATTGTGTTTGTCATTAAATTGTGTAACAGTTGATTCCTCAAAATCATGTTGATCAACAGTTTGAGGTTTTTCAATAGTGTCACGATATTCTTGTGATGTTCTGTTTGGTAAAGGCACATTTAAAGAATGAGGCAAATCAGTTTCAAAATCACAGAACTCTGTATACTCTTCTAGATCATTTTTAATCATGTTATTGTTATTATTATTATTATTAACTGATAAATTATCAACTAACATTGCATAGATGCCAGTATCAGTATCACTTATGTCATTTTTTAAATCTTCTAATCGAACATTTTGAACACAATTGATTTGATTGGACGATTCTTCCATATCTACACGCTCTAATTGACTATTAACCAATGTATTTTGATCAGTTGATTTTTCAAAATTAGCATTGGTTTCAGGCTGATAAACCTTATTATCCTCATACACTTCAGAGTTGTTTAATTCAAGTACTAAATTTGGTAAATATTGTGGTATATTAATTTTAACTTTTACTATGTCACTAATAAATTGTTCAGAAGTTAAAGACAAGTCATCATGAGGCTCGTCATTAATTATTTCCCTATTATTATGTATTATGTTTTCAGAGGATTCATCTTGTTTGATCTCTGTATTACAGTCTATTTCACTGACAATATCACAACTGTCATTGGTCGTTAATTTTTTTATACTTTCCCAAGACACATCAATTTCATCTTTCCATATGGATAAATCATTTTGATGTATACTAGACCCTTGTTCAGATAATGGTGATACCATAGATAAATCATTCTTTGCAATACTTGACGGCTGTTTTGACAAACTGTCATTAGTGTTTGTTTCAATACAAACTGCTGGTTTATGGACAACATCGCCATCATAAGGAAGTGATAATTCGTCAATAGGATTCCACCCACCATCTGGACCTTTATGTATACAAAACGTAATGTTAGGTTTAACACATACACCTGTAATTTATAAAACTTACTTAAACTAGACTCAGAAGGCAATTCCAATGCCAGATGAGGATAGTCCATAAAATCCTCATCATCTTCCCAATCCAATTTGGTCATGGGAGGTGGAGTTTCGGGTATCAGAGGTGGTATGGCATCAGACATCTTAGCTGTAAAACGTCATAATAATTATTATTATTATCATTAATTTTTTTATATATATATATATTCGATTTGATCAACTATTACGAAGGTACTTACTGTAATTTCGGAACGTACATGTCACGTACTACTAAAGATAGATGATAAACGGGAAAATACCAGGTGCGATTAAATTTGGTTTAGTACTTCAGGCGCGATTTTACGAAACTTGATGAGTAATAACAAAAACAGCAAAAAAAATTTTAAAAAAAAATTGTAAAATTAAGTTAAACCCAAGCCTGAACAAATTTTTAATAGTCAGGACTACTGAAGTACAGAGTACTGAGCACTAATCTGAAACCTTGATTATTGAATTGTAAATTGTTATCATTACGTGATAAAAATTATTATGTATGAATAGGAGATTCCATATGCGCATAAGATATTCCTTGAAAACTTTGGTTGCAGTATCACAAATTAGAGAACACGGTCGTCACAATCTGATATAAAATTCATTGATTTGATAATTAGATAAAAACTTGATAAGAAATTTGACGCCTTTCACATATTATAATAATATAGGAGCTAGGAGCTAAGTTTAATAATTTAATAATTATGTTGTATAATTAATGTATTATCTGTGTTAACGATCAAATTCTGCTTGGTCTACGAGAAAACTATTCGATACAGCTGACAAAAATAATAATTAATAATGATAAAAAAAATATAAAATTTACAATTTTAATAATTGTTATAATAATATCTTGAATTCTTTACCGATAAGCTTACTTACGCATAAAAAAAATTAATATTTAGTTAATGATTATAGATTTGTTAGTCTGTATTCAGTAATGTATGCAGGATTTTAGTTCGGTTAGGGTTTTACATGAGTAAATAATTTAAATAATAATGAATAATGAATAATTTAAATAATTTGCAAATTGGGTAGGTACACCACTATCTGTAGTCAGCTTGCTATAAAAAAAATTTAATCAGTTCGCTTTTGTATATTATGTATGTTATAACTTTATAAGACAGCTGTCAAATTCTCCAATGGTTATAATATTATTTTCATATTGTCTTTTAACAACTATACTGTATTAAAATTGGACGAATGTTTATAATTTGATTGTAGCCTCTTTTTGTATTACTCTCTTCATGTTCACCTAAAGAACAGTGCCGGATCTTGAACTCTGACGGCCCCGGTACAAAAAGTTTAGAGGCCCATATTTTCAAAATGTTTAAAAAAAGCCACAATTTTACAACTACGATAACTTTACAGTTACAAAATWATGAAGCCTACAATGTACAAACTACAAAGTATAATAAAATGAATAGTATATTATTATATACAGAAAATAGATATGTTAGTCCAATATAATAGTAAAAAAAAAAATGTTTAGATGTTCTATTTTAAGAAATTTTTTTTTCTTGACTTTGCATTTTCAAAATTTTCAATTATCTTCTCAATATTAAGAGTTTTTTGTTTGTTCCTATTCTATACTTAAAATTGATATACTAGAAAACGTTGTTGTCCACATGTGTTTCCTAGGTAATTCTTAATAAGTTTTAGTTTGGAAAATGATTGTTCAGCTTCTGCCACAGTAATAATTGGCATTGTAAGAAAAATTACAWAAAAGCACTTAAAACATCTGGAAAACTACTTGATAAATCATTATTTATAATAAAATTACCCAAAAGTTTTATTATTTTTATTTTTCATCTTTTATTACTGTTTTTAAAGATAACATTTGTCGAGGGAAGTCAGAACTAACATTATCTTTATATGTTACACAAAAATCGTATGGTKATTTAATAATATATTTATCAGTTTGTGTTGAAAGAATAGTAGGATTTAAAAAATTTAAATCTTCCAATACATCATGCATACCTTGAAACCGACTAATAAGTTGAGATAAAACTGTATCCAACATAGGGAAAAATAATTTACTTTAAAGTTCTCTTCAGTTGTGTTAAGTATCCTATCTCCATTTAAATTGTCATWAAACAATTTTTTGGCATATGGTARTCTTTTTTCTACGCATTTATCCGGGATTCCCCATCTTGAACACAGTGATTTTGCATTACCTATTTAGTATATTTTCATCGTATCTATTTCTTGTCTCTTGAATAAAATGTACAGCATTATTAAGCATTGTAGAAGCTTCTTCTAAGTTCATATTTACATTTTATAATTTTTGAGAAATAACTTTCAATTGTCGTAATATAGGTTCCCAAGTACACAATATTAAAATAAATTCAAAGTTTTTTAAAGAATCTACMTAACGTTAAATGGGCTCGATCGGAAAATGCAACCCGTTCGAATCAGGATTTTGTGAACCCATTTGGGCCAAATTTTTTATTCGTARGTACATTTATTATTACTTCTAAATAATTACTAGAAAACCTACTTAAATGTTTGGCTAAACTGTATTAACCATAGACCTATAAAAGTCTATGCTAGGAGCTAGGATATGATATGCGCGGTCCATTCTTTTATAGGTCTATGGTATTAACTAATTTGTAGATTATGTACAGAATAAAATTATTTATAATTGATAAATTMCCAAAAACCCATAGTTACATTATACGCGTAGGTAGATACAAATATTDAAATATATAATAGATATTATCTGTTACAACACAGCACTATCATGGGCCTGTGCGATAATACTAATTGTGGTTAATGGTTAAGTATATAATATTATTATAACAAACACGGCCATGGCTCGACATATTTTGAAAATTTAAGATAGGGCCGCTTCATATTGACCATTTTCTTCTCCATGGTATGCCATTTTTTCCGATATTAAGATGTTGGGCCCCTTGAAATATTTTTCGCCCTACTAGATTTTTAGGACTTCGACGCCACTGACAAACACTACCTATACGAGTACACTACGCAATATGCCGTATTAGTATTTTTATTTGTATATATAGTACCTACACTCATATTCCGTGTTGTTAAAATGGATATTCAAATTGGAAATATTTTCAAAACAAAACGAAAACAAAGTTTTATTTATGTAATAAAACTTAAAAGTTAAAAGTTGGAAATTGGYTAAGATAATTGTATGGGTTAGCTTTAGCTTTATTACAAACATCTGAAAATGAAGATGGGTATGCTCAAATGATGCCTATTACTCCCAATATCGAATTTAAATGAAAACATTTTCGTAATTCAGTCGACTCTTTTTTAAAAATTAATGATTTAAAAAATATATAAAATTAGGTATATATTTTTATTTTTAAGACGAAGTAATCGCACATATTAATATTATATTATATAATATATAAAAAAATAAAATAAAATAAGAAGCAACATTTTAAACCATGCTACAGACAATCCTAAGCCTGTTAAAAATAAAATGGGAAAGAAAATGCTGGTCTAAACAAGTTGAATAAAACTAGGTAATATTTTTGAGTCCATACCTCCAACGGATCTTCAAAATTGGTCCAAACGAGTTTTGTGTGTTGGGAAAATTGGTCCAAACGGTTCCTGCTTGTTTTTGACCAACTAGATTAGTACTACAGTAGACACAGTAGATAATAACTAATGAACTAATTAAGACCGACTCTGCGTAAAATATCGCAAAATGTATGTTCCTCAATCCTCCGGTTATCCATCACCATTACTCGCATTGCAGCGGCGGCATCGTCGACGATTGGTGATTGCGACGGCATGGTCTCTCAGATACCAGTCGCCGGAAATAATAAAAAAAAATAGCTGGTATCATAACCAAAAATCATTTCGTGTAACAAAAAAGCTAAGTGAAAAAAAAATAATGTTATAATGATTAAATCTTTAAAATACGTGATATAATATGGAAACTAAGTAAAATGCCATCTTATAATATTACAAATACCTATAGGTAACAACAAATAAGATAAATTATAATGTTAAATATTTAGTCAGCATATTGTTAGTATACATTATTAATTATGAAAAATACAATAGCGGTTACTTATATCATATTTGTATTTATTATAGATTCTGAGCGGAGCGAGGAATGTATTGATTTTACAAGGATGTTTATTTCTTTTTCTTTTTTATTCTGTATTCTGTAAACACTTTTTTCTCAAAGTAAGTAAGTAAGAATATTTTTTAAAAGAAGGTGGCAAAGTCCCAGTGATAAAAAACAAAATGTTCAACCCCCCCCCTCCCATTGAAAATTCCTGAGTACGCATCTGCTCTCCAGTAAACAACTGTTCAAATTGGTTCACAAATAAAATAGTTATCCTAGATAGCGTATGAACTATTATACTAAAGTATCCAGCTGTAGTATGAAATATTTCATACATCTGTAGTTCTAGACAGTGTATAAATAGGAAGGAAATTTTTGCTTGTTGAATATATCATATAATAACACAGTTTTATCATGAAAGCTTACGGGAACCAATTCGTATATTATGTTATCTGTAGGCAACTCAGGAATCACTTTTGACAATTTAGAACCAACTAGTAGTCGTCCATAAATTTGACAATATGTGTCCGCA